AGTGGGATACTGGGGTTTAGCCATATGGCATGTGCCAACCTTGTTTTCTCAGATTTGTTTTACATGGACATTTAAGGGCTTTTGGAAGGATTTCTTGTTCCTTCATTTACCATGTTTTTCAGGTGCTGACAAAGTACCTTGGGATCAGTTTGTAGTAAAACATGTCTTCACCTACCACCTGTGCTGAGTCTGCTGCAATGAAACCTGCACTGCAGCTCATGATGAGATGGTTCGTATGCTAGGTGATGCATATACAGAATAGCTACTTCTGATAAGAGGATTGCTGGTTTCACCTGTTGAGATGACTACCTTTATCATTGTTGTTACCAATAACATTGGTAAATGCTTGTCCACGGTTTGACAAAAGTAGTCCCTCTGTAACCGCAAAGTGTAGGCTTGCTTGTGCTTTATGAGGCAGTTAAGCTAGGCTGTAACAGTTTGCTGTTGTGTGTCAGTGCTGTAATGTCTCACCACTGTTGAATGACTGCTTAGGACAGCAGTTATGTGTGAGATAAAAAACAATTCACAACCTATTATGTTCCCTGCTGTTTTTGGTGATTGTCTGCAGAGATGCATGACCTAAACTCAGGTGTGTCATATGTTTCCTCTCCTGCCACGCCAGACTGTGGTCCTTCATTTTTTCCTCAGACCATCTGCTGGCAGTTTTGTCCATGTGGCAGCTGACATCTGCCCTCTTATGTGGGCCTGAGGCCTTACTAAGAAAAACCTCTTCTCTGACATGTTGTGTTTTTTTTCCTGTCTCAAGAAAAAAGTTGCGTTCCCATTCCCCACTTGGCTCAAGGTTTTAGTTATGTAGCTTCCCGGCTTAGTGGTGTGGATCAAAAAGTGGAGGCTTAATCCGCTCTGATGTAACCATCACAGGTCTGTAAAACTGCCTGACTTTTGGGGGGATTTATCACATTTCAAGGGCTCAAAATATTGCAATACCTGGGAAACCATGTGTACATTTATTGCTTTTTAAGTAGAATTACATTTCTAAGGAGTTGTAGTCAAATACGCAGTGTGACAAAGTACCCATGTGCATATATCTCCCAGCCTCACAAATCTCTTATTAAATTTTTTCTTTTATTGGTCTTGTTGGCACAAACCAATATACTTGTTTTGTAACAGTGAACACGAGAGGTTTCACTTACGTGTCTTTAGTACCAGAATTGATGTTTTGCTTCATTCCTGTTTCCCTGCAGACACCGACCTCATGCCGAGATGAGAAGTATGTGTATGGTCGTGTGAGAATCATATGAACCAGCTTACGGGTCAAAGTTGGGTTTTCTCTTTTTTTCCTGCAGAGAAATAACAGCATTCCTTTAGTTATCAGCAACTTTGAGGAGAAACGAGGACATGTTTTTAAAGATTAATTTATAAGTATTATAATGCTAGTCTTTTCAGCTGTACGGCTTAGTCATTTTGCAATGAGATAACACATTCCTGCTCATATGGTAGCTCCAGTTTGCAGAATGAATCAGGAGTCAGTCAGATAAACAATTATTAGACCTTATAGATGTTCTCTAATTTTGTGTGTTGTAGAACAATAGTAGTGATGCTCAGAGTGTCTCTTTTTTAATATAATATAGCACCATTGTCATTTGGAGTATCACCTAAACTAATATTACACACAGCTGACTTCTGGACCAAAGTGTGCTTAAGTAAAACCCTTCAGGGTTTGAGTGCTGTTGGTGGACCAGAATAAGAGGTTTGCTCCTCTTATGAAACAAACATACGTAAGAACCTATCAGTGAATTCAGCAGTGGTGTGTTTTTTAGTTTTCTTCATCTGTTCATCTCTTTGAGAGATTTCTAGATACTGTTTAAAGTCAGGGTGAGACTTTAAAGCTGCCAGTGGTCAAAAGCTTTTAAAATGGGGATGGGAGCATCTGGTCTATGTTGCAGATGCACAGTTGGGTTGTAGCTTTCCCCTCCTTGGGGGCGCATAAATGGCACAATTCAGTGTTCCTGAAGTCCTCAGGGAAGGAAGAACAGCCTTAATATTCAACAGTTTTCATTTGGTGTATTGCCTTATAGTGTTCATGTAAGCCCTTTGGCCATTTACCACTTTTATCTCAGAAGGTGCTAAAGAAAAGCCACCCAGCCTGGTGATTAAGCTACAAATATCCAGATGCAGCTAGGGCTGTTCGATATAACGATATATATCGGATGGCAATATAAAAACATCTATCGTTTCATGTTACGCTATCGTTTGTTTTGTGGTGTCGTAAAATAAACTGTTTACGGCGATATTTTTTCATTGTTTTGATGGTCACTGTAGTGTCTATATTAATTTCCTAAAGTTCTCTCTTTGTCTTATTTTTAATATAACCACGCTACAGATGGACAAGTGCCTGTTTTTATGCATTGTTGTTAGCAACAACGATGGCAAAACCATCGCGTGTCCGCTGGTTTAGTTTCCACATTAACCTTTCACAATAAAGATCCTGTTGAGACTTTTCAAAATAAACTGAATCACGTGAAAGATGCAGAGTGTTTACGGATGAGAAGTAAAAAAGAGCCGTCAGGTGCTAAAAAATAAACCTTAGACTCAAACGTTAGAACAGGCTTTTCCCCGCAGCACAATGTGTAATAAATACTCACAAAGAAAATGGTGGCCATTACAACTTACGTCTAAAAATGTATCATTTCATTCATCGGTTAAAACACTCAACTCCAGGTACGCCGCCCAGCTGGAAACACTTCACCAAGTCGAGCTGCCCGAGATTCACAGAATTTACAGAAAATGTTACATTTTTGTGATTTATATCGTTATCGGGACGATTGATGTCTTATATCGGGATGTGAGATTTTGGTCATATCGCACAGCCCTAGATGCAGCATTTTTTTTTTAAAAGGTCAGGACACATGATGGTGTTCTTGGCATGTTCTGATGTCAGATTTCTTAACATTTATAGAAAAACAAAAATACATTTCCACCATATAAACTCAGTCAGATTTCAGACCATTTTCTTGGTCAGGTCAAGCCTAATATTGTAGAGTGTAGTCAAAACAGGTAATTAATACAGGTGGTGCTAATATGTGCAGTTAGCCACTGAAAGCCATTTAGTGTTTACTAAGTTTTAATTGGTGATTATGGGTACTATAAATTACTGCGCTGATGCGTAATGATTTAATTTTCTTTCCTTAGCTAAGCTAAATTTCTGTCACCTTAGAGTTGATAGCCTTTCCCTTTCGGTCGTTTGGCTTCTGTTTGTGATCCCAGAGCTGAGAACATAAAAAACTCATTTCTTTTTCTCCGCTTCTCGGGTAAATGTCTCAGATTCACATTCGGTGAAACTGCACTTCTTTCTTGTTCTTTTTATTGCTGTGTCTGGCAATCACAAGAAGGTGAAAACAGCAATGTTAAATAAAAAACTATTAAATAAAAGAAGTTAACAATGCATCCACTCTTTCTTGCACCATGCACGCACACACCATCTGAGAACAAGAAAGCAAGTGCACATTTCTGTCTTTGTGTGTGCTGTTTTAGTTGTGAGATTTATCCATTTGTCCTCAGGTGTAAAGATTAAATTTGGCCTCCATCGTCCTCAGGGAATATGTATCACTCAAGATCTAATTCTTTTGCCTTGATGTGGCCTTGCTCTATTTTTGGACTTATTGTCTCACTATAATGGTTGTAGTTCCTTGGGCAAATTGGCCAGAGGTTGTGCTGCTTATCCACTAGAGGTTTACATTGACAAGGTAATTTTTTCCCCCAAATTCTTAATATCTAAAGTATAAATATCTAAAGAAACAAGATCAAGTACAGATTTATGCAGTAGTACAACGGTCTGGGTCACCTGCAGAAGGTACTGAGATGTTGCAGGTTACATTAGACTGTATATAAAAGATGGACATCGCTGTGATGTTATCCATTGGTTTGTAAAAGCTGAGTGTTTTTGCCATTGTCATGTTTTCTTTCTGAAACCAGATGTTATGAGCACTGAAACTGTGAGACTACAGGCTCACACTGCAGGCTGGCTTTGTGTCTCCTTCTGAAGACCAAAGTCTACAAAATGAATTTGTCTATGAATATCACTGAAATTTGCCCGCCCCCCCATTGAGTCCATGAGCTGTTCTTTTGAAGCTTATATATAACTAATCTCCAGTTACCTTATTTTATGATCTCAGTAAACACATTTCTAGTACGTCTTTTGGAAAGGAAAGTCACTCCCTGCAGGTATTTGGGTTTAAGCCATTTTCAGCTGGGCTTTCCTTTTCAGACCCAGAAGATATGTCCATGAAGTCTGATTTTCCACCCATCCTTCCATTGTTTACCACTTATCTGAATGATAGAGGCAATTTGCAGCAGCAGTCCAAGCAGAGAAGCCTAGACTTCCCTCATCCTGGCCACCTCTTCTTGCCCATCCACCTAGATGGTGGGCCATCTGGAAGAGGTGGACAATCTCAACTGGCTCCTTTCCAGGTGGAGGACCAGCAGATCTAGCAACCCTGACCAGCAAACCTTAGAAGGAAACTAATTTCTGCAGCTTGTATCCGGAACCTCATTCTCCCAGAGTTCATGATCATGGGTGAGAGTACAAACCCAGATTTACCGCTAAATCAAAAGGTTTTACACTCAGCTTTTTCTCCACCGCAACATATCAATATAGCTTCCCCTATTAGAATGGAGTGTGAGAGTGACAGACTATCTTACTCATGAACGAGACCCCGAGATACTTGGGGCATCAACTTGTCCCTGACCACGATTGGACACTCCACTCTTTTCCACCTAAGAAACATAGTAGAGATATGGTTGTGCTGATTTTCATTACCGCTGCTTCACACTGGGCCATGAACCATTTCAGTGCAAGCTGAAGGTCAACAGCTGATGAAGCCAGCATGACCAGGAAATCCTTAGGTCACCAAAGTGGAGACCCTCCACCATGTAGCTACGCCTAGATGTTGTTGAGCTTGTTACTGCCATAATGCTTCATCACCTTTTCTTTATGCGAAAGACTGATTCTCACTTCTCTGCCTCCCTTTTTTTTTCAGGGTGCAAGTTTCAGAAGAGTTGTTACACCCCCATTTAATTACACCAAGACTGGGGGCCAAGCAGGCAAAGAAGTGTTTGGTGAGTGAAAAACTTACTGCAGTGTGCTGTGTAATCAGATTTCCCACAGCTTCAGGTTCTGTGTGTGACTGTGTTGGGGATGTGGGGAAATGTGTCAGGGTTTTTCTTGGCTCAAAATTGCCTTGTGAACATGTAGTCTACATTTAGTTTAAGGCAAAGAGTCTGACTTACCTGTGTTGAAAGGCAGAGACCTGTTTAGTGGGTAACAAGTTTGTTTTTATTTTTCCCTCTGCAAATCATTCATACAAAATACTTTCTGTGTTTGAGCTTAAACTGGTGTCGGTTGCTTCAGATTCTGTTAGTGGACCTAGCTGATAGTGGATATACTGACCAGCTGCAATACAAGACACACTGTCTTGTATTGCAGTTCATCCCAGCGTGGGACAATGTCCTCTCTGGGAAAGCAGCTGAATGATATCAAGGATTCCCACAACAGTAGCTTGGCTAACAAGACAGCCTGTAGGGACAACATGACAGCTGGGGCTTTAAACACAAATTTAAAGGATTGTTTGATTGGTTCTGTTCTCTCAGACAGGAATAGATAGATTTCTAATATGAGTTGCCAAACAAGGTACATAGGCACCTGTTTATACACCTCAGCAGCCCACGGAAGTAAAGTGTGTGTGGGAAACACTGGTGATAATAGGATTATTTTCTTAACATGTACTGAAACAACTGCGGTTAAACAGTTCACTGACCGCTCAGTGAAATCAATTTTATATTCAATTCATGTATATGTGAACATAAAAAATAAAAAAAAAAGGAAAAAAATATCCCTTAAAATTGATTTGTCTTGCTTACGTTTTACATTAGTTTTTGTAACACACAATTAAACTGTAGCACTCAATAGAGATTCTGTTGTTTCCAATAAAGGCGAAGCACAACAAAGACTCCAGTCAGGAAACATTGCAGGCTCTGTTGCTGCTGAGAGGGTGTGCTCTTAAAAATAGGTCTTGCTTTGCCCCAACCTATCTGCTGTAAGGTTCATAGGTCACTGCTGTCTCATGTTTATAAACACCGTCTTGCCGGCAGCGACGAAGTATGCTTCCAACCACACATAACTACTGCAACCTTGAGTCAGAACGCCCTCATTCAAATTTCACACACCATTCATTCAAGAGCACACGGTGGTAAGTTGGTTTGATTTTAGTTTCAGAGTAAGGCTGGGATTAAGTAACTGAATTTTTTGTGGTTTTGAAATGTTTAACCACCTTTTGAAGGTGTTTGCTTGAATGCGGTTTAAATGTGTTTGTAGAGGTTTGGGTCTGTTTACTGTAACTGGTGCAGAGAGCAACAATTATGGTGTTCATTTAATTTCCCCTAATTTCCTTCGGGATTAATAAAGTATTCTGATTCTGATTTAAAACAAAAAAATGGCATTATATTGCAAAGGTCTGTAACACACTGATTCTGAACTCCATTGTGAGCTAATAGTCTTTGGCTGATAAGCTACTGATGCTGTCTGGACAGTGATTAAGGCACTGATGAATGAATGGGGCTTTGATTTTATGTTGATTGGCTTCTTCTAGAATTTTCCTTTTGTTATAAATTTGAGTGGAAATATATTTGTATCAGAAGGCGTCACTGGTTGAGTGCATAGATTTAAAAGGCTTTTTTTGTTGTGGGTGTGACTCTTGTGTTACGCATGTAAGGAGATATTTTTATCTTATAGGAAGGAAAACTATGCATCATCCTAAGATAAAATAAAATATTGTCATTGGATAGATTCTCATTATACTCTTAACCAAGGAAAGTTTTTATGCACAGATCTCTTTCCTTTCCTTTGAGTTTCTATTTTGATATTTCTTGCTGTTTTGTGGATATCCAGAAAGAAATCAATGCATTTAAATTGTGATGTTCTTTGTTTGTGGTTCTCACACATGCCTACAGTGTGCAGTCTGTTGTTAGTAGCCTTGACAGCTGTGAGAAGGATCTATCATCCTCTTTGTTTTCAACAGTATTTGTGGTTTGCACAACACAGATTTATTCCCTCATGATGTGCATGCTGTAAATCCACTATAAACTTTACTAACAAGCTGAAGTGTGTGTGTGTGGAGGAGCGATTACACACATTTGTCTGGTCTCTTCTGTGTGCCATCGCACCATTATCCAGCAGTATTCCTCATATGACCTCTCTTTATTTCTCTCCACCCCTCCTCTCTCACATCACCCACCCACGGGCTTCACGAGAGACCTTATGAGGATCATTTGACTGGAATGATACTGCTGCTTCAGGCATTTTAAAGTATGGGGAAAACAAGCAATTTGTTACACAAATTTCTGCTCCAGAAGGCTTTGTGATTCAGTCATTAGATCTGTTATTCTAAGCTGGAGGTAGCAGCTTTGAATCGTCTTTTTGTCTGTGGTGTGCCAGCTTTTTATCTCGCATCTTTTTGTGTGTGTCTAACATTGTATGTGAACTTTTAAACTGGAGGATGTCAGTGTGTTATTGTGTTAGCAGGCCTGATATTGATCGCAGATTTTAATGACCTCAGGATTGTGTAATCTGATACTAGTGGCTCGTGTTTGTAATTACTCTTATTTTATATGGTGTTCCCGTATGTACCATAGACCAATAACATTTGGTTGAAGATTTTATTATTCCTTGTTGCAAAGAAAGCATAGTTTCACTGTGAAACTGTGTCCGTTTTATTTGTTCTTGCCTAAGGCCAGACCATAATTAAGGTGTGTTGTTTGTTGACTGTAACCAGAGTCTCATTGAGGTGATTTAATCATCGTTGACTGTTTAATCAAAGCTGCTATCTAAAGAGAACAAATCAAGGGAAACAGTAACAGGAAACAAACTAAATAAGCTTTGTTTGCATATAAATACATATTTTGTAATGACACAGCTACCAGATGAATAAATCAAGATTCGGATCCTCACTATGATTTTGTGACAATGAGGAAATATATCCTCACTGCTAAAAATAATATTCCAAATGAATAAGTATGATTTTTGTTTTTGTTTTTTTACTTGTGATCAAACATGTTGTGTAGCCACATAAATTAATACAAATTAAAACTCATTAGACTCAAAATTATATCAAGTATATTAAAATGGGTTTCAACAAGTGAAATAACAACATTATTTTTAAAATGATTTTTACTGCACTACAAACTTATCAAGGAAAACAAAAAGATACAAAAATACAATCAACTTAAAAGTAAAAGTAAATGAAATGCAAAGCTAAATAAAAGACCTTTATTTGTTCTCGTAGGTTGATTTGCTGATGCACTAATCAGCATAGTACAACTCAGCAGTGTGGTGCTGATTATCTTAAAAGAAAAGATTAATTGTGAAGTTTTACTTGGGACTAAAAAGGCTAGATTACACTTAACACTTCCCCTTGTGTCCATGAGTTGATGTCCACATGTCTGCTTAGTTTGAGAGCACGCAGACCCATCTATGGAGAATTTACATTACAGTGTACCATAGAAGTATGCATTAGCTCCATGGGAGCCTGATGCTATAACAGGCAAGTACAACAGGAATCCAGGCTTTAGATCAGTTCAGTGCTTTTGTCACAGTCTTATTCTTTTACTTATTTATCCATTTATTTATTTATTGCAGGTGACGAGAATTGAGGGGACAATGCGAGTCCACATGCACACCAAGTTCTGTTTCCTGTGTGTGCTCACGTTCCTCTTCCATCAGTGCAGCCACTGCCATGAAGGAGGACACCACCATCAGCACGATGGGCATCACCACAATGATCATGACAGCGCTCACAGCGACCTGCAGATTTCTGAGGCTCCATACGTGAGAGGGGTCACAGAGTCCCCAGGGTCCAAGAGTGGGCACGCTGGGGATGCTCTTGAGGAGGAACAGCGCTTCTACATCCAGCAGCTTTTCAGGCGCTATGGCCAGGAAGACCGGTTAGATTTCAAGGGCTTTCAGAGTCTGTTGTTTAGCTTGGGATTGGGAGAAGTGAAGGTTGTAGGTTTGGATCATGAGGATCTGGGCCATGACCATGTAGCCCACCTCGAGGTGTTGGATATGCTGCACGGACATTCATCCACTAACGCTGGTCACAGCCACGGCCAGGGCCAGGGCCACCGGCACAGTCACACCACACAGATGCGTCCACACCAAAAACAAGACTCTCAGCATCCACACACAGAAGGAGCTCCCACTCGGTGCAGCCAAACCACTGCTGGACCAACAGAGCATGAACATGATCACGAACACGATCACGATCATGATCACGATCATGAACATGACCATGATCACAATCACGATCACAATCACACCAAGGTAGAGGAGAATGACCATCAACATGACACACACGACTTTGGCGACCACAACAATCACAATCACACACATGATGAAGAGCACAAACACCAGCAGGTTAACCACAGGGACCTGTCTTCTCAGCCTCACCCTGATCACGACCACAGCAACCACAGTGATCATGAACATGACTACAATCATATTCATGAAGTGCACACAGACATAGGCGGCACTCACCTCGACCAGGAAACGCTGGAGCCATCTCAGGTGCCCCAGAGGCTGCAGCCCACCCCGACAGAAAACCGACCCAAGAAACCCCGGAAACCGGGAAGAGTCAGGGGACAGCGAGGGCGAGACAAAACCACATCTTCTCACACACCTGCATCTGATGACCACGACCACGACAACACTCATGACCATAACCACACACATGGTCACAGCCACTCTCATAAAGATAAGAGAGAGGCACCGGGGGCACTTCCCGTGCCCACTCTGCCGGTCTTCATGCCAGCTGGTCATCCAGGTGGATTAACCCATCAGCATGAGGAGGTAAGATTTTTTTTTTTTATTAAATGCACCTGTTGTGATTTCCAATTTGCTTTTTTAACTTTTGCGATAGTTTTGCGTCATTCTGAGCTCCTCCGCTGTGTGAAACAAGTAGTTGAAGATTCCTTTCCCCCATCTTTAACCCACCTATTTTCTGATTGGCAGCCTGTGCCATTTTTATTTTGCTTTATAGATCTCTTACTCCTGCCAACTCTAAAAATAACATCAAAGTCATACATTAATTGAGCCCATGGATCCAGCAGGACATTTGAATCTGGACTAGATTTAGATTTTCTTGGAAACATCAAAACAATTAACTGGTCAAATTTACATGTGACACTGTCCATAAAGTTTTAAGCAATCCCGCTAAAAACCAGACAGACAACCTAAAACTATTACATAACGACCCTGATGAAGTTAAATATATTGTGAGGAAATCTGAAAGCCTTGAAAACAGTCCACTTGTTTATAATAAATATGTATTTTTTTCACAAAAGGACAAAAAACAAGAAGGATTAAATAAACAGACACAAGAAACCAGATTTTTATTTAAATGTTATTGTTCTAATAAGTTATCAGTGCCACTACTGCTTAAGTTATTATATTGTGTTGGTTTTCTGTGTTTGGACTCTCTCAGCATTTTTAAATGAATTGTTGGCTTTCCTCGAGGATGTGTTTGGATCAGTCAGTGCTGCCAAAGTGAAATTCCCTTAACATAAAATCTGTCTTTTGCTGCAGCTCACATTGTGTTTGAGTGAAATTTGACTTTACAAGAAGTGATTCTGTTATTTGTAATGTTTTTCAGTTTTGTCAGTGGTTCCCTGCGTTTATTTATATTTTCATGTTCTCACCTTCTCGCTCCAGTGTTTGAACCTCACTCAGCTCCTCACTTACTACGGCCTCAATCCCGACTCGCTCATCTCCCCCCGCCAGTTTGCGTATCTGTGTCCTGCCTTGCTCTACCAAATAGACAGGCGGGTCTGCATCCTCCATTATGAGCAGATGGATGTGGAGCAGGAAGCCTTTGAGCCTGCCAGTTCTGGTAAGAGCAAACTTATTGATCTGCTCGGGGGAAAAAAAAAACACATATAAAGGAGAAATATTAATTTCAATGAGTGTCAGCTGCTTAGTTCAGTCCACGGTGCTCATTTTATTTTCATTTCATTCTTTTGGATGACAAAATGCAGCTGAAGCCAGTGTTTTATCCTTGTTTTGGATACTTGGTGTGAGACCAGCAAGCTAAGCAGTCACGGAAGGTGGACTAAAAAGCACCTACTATTATGAAATTGTTGAGACTCTGAATATGGTGGTAAGCAATTGGAATAGAGGAAAAAGTCACAGTGAACCATTAAAAAACATGGTTAACAAAGCACACTGTAAGTCAGGGTTTTTGTCTGATGCCATCGGCCATAGGAAACTGCTTTCTTCATAAGTGTAAAACCACAGGGACTCCCATCATAAAACATTAATGTAATGCTCTCTTTACGTAACCTGGAGCTCCTCTCTTAGGGAAGAGTGGAAGATCTGCAAAATGTATAATGTTTCTTTAAAATGGTTAAGCCGTATTTTATATTGAGACTTTTATTTTCTGGTACTGCCGCTATCTTTTACTGATTTTATTTTATTTTAATTTTCAGAGCCTGATAGCAAGGGGACAGGGCAATGTGTGCCAAACTGGACCCAAAACAGAGAGTTATAAATAAAAATGTTAAAGTATTTAGTATAATATATAAAATACTTAAAAAAAAAAAAAAAGGGGGGAAAAGAACATTTTTACTTATAGCTAAACTGCTTTGAGCTGATTTGAATGCAACAGCAATACAAACAAACACTTGTTGCAATGCAGAAGAGCGTCTCTGCTCTGGTTTGACTCACAACATGGCAAACTGTGAAGCAGAAAGGTGACAGCAGCGGCAGAAGACCGTATCAGATGCCACTCCTGTCACATTAACAAGGTGGAACAAATGAAGCAGCCGGTGGGTGTATATAGCGTTTTTCTTAATCAATATTAAGACTAATCCGGAGTAGAGTTGATCACATTTAATTTATAATATACTTAACATTAAACTGGTGACGTCTTGTCTTCTTTACAGTATTCATTTTCATTTTGGCAACTTTGACAATTTGAAAAGTTTTAATTCAAATAAATGAATAAAACAGTTTTGTGTTTGTGCGCTCAAACGTGACTCCAAGATCGAGGTTTTGGAAACGAAAATGTGATTTTTGTGTAACTATACCTCTGCGGCATCCTTCTGCTGTGCAGAGCTGCAGAGGAGACACAGGAGAGCAGTTTGAGCAGTGACATTAGTTTAACAAAAAAGAACAACTGAGTATTGGAAGCCAGAGCAGTCGTTGAAGAGTGCTTCTTATGCTCAAATTGCTTCATGTATTTACACAACACGAGTTTTATTTACAGCTGAAGGAAGGCGTAACATCAGTTCTTGCTAATAATGTAGACTTGGAGAAATTTGAGACTCGAGTCACTCAAAGCAGTGTCGTCATTGTCCAGGAGGCTTTTTCCTGCTTACTGCTAAACATGTACTTTGTTCTTTATATCAAACCTGCTGCACGGTTGTCTCACACTAACCTTTGTTCAAGATGGAAATCTTCCTCTAAAACCACTCAAGAGTTTTTTTATGGCGTCTGCTGCTGTAGGCATGACGCTGACCTCATGAGCTTCTGCTCAGTGTGTAGCCTGTCAGGTTGGTGGAACCACTGTGAATCTCATCTGTGGTTCAGGGCTTTTTTTTATATAGTTAACTAAAGAAAAAGCAAAAAGTTTGGGAAATGTTTGAGTTAACTGAACTATAGATCAAGCATAGACTTAAACATGTATTTGTGGACGTCTTTAGTTTAAGTCTTCAACACACAGAGGGTGGCAGCTTTGGTGTGTTTACTGAGACTAGGAAATCTGTGACTTTGAGCGCCAAAAACTAAAATTGTAAACAAAGTGAAACTAAACTGACTTAAAAGTAGTGGTTTTGTTTTAAACAGAAAAAAGTAAAATTTTTTGAAAAAACACAAAACTGTATAAGCAAGTTTACAGTTTTGTATATATGAAAAGGCTGTCATAATTCACCGTGAGCATCAGGAGCTGATTAGGAGGGAGGTCATAGTGGAATCACCCCATTAATGTGCTATAGTTGGCCTTCTTGCAGTCATCTTAATACGGGACATTTCTGGGCTATTCACACACCTAACTGCAGCACTCACAATCTGTGTTTGGAGCTTTCCATCTGTCTGTTCTCCTTATTAAATTATTTCAGTTGCCATGGCAGTGAACAAGTGGTCCTTTTTTGTCTTTTCTAAATCGAGCAAAGAAGGACCGTTTGTGTCCCTTTGAGTGCCCAACTACTTCTTTCTTTCAGTGAGCTTTCTTCTCTCAGTTTATATTCTGATCACATCCTCCAATCAATAATATTCAAAAAAAGAAAATCTGAAAACCAAAAGAGGACAAAAGCGGAGCTATAAAGACAGAAGGTCGGTATTAAGTCCTGCTCTGAGACCTTACGACGTTTGCAGGTTTATGGGAATGCAAATTATAAAATCATAGCGTTTAAAAGTTAATGAGTTACAGGTCGTGAAATAAAACTCGAAGCCATAAAAGCTTCGTACAAATCAAAGGAGGAGCAGTAATCTCAGCTACTGCAAACCAAAAATACAAGACAGACTGCACATCTTTGGGTTTCTTTGAATTTACGCTTTACGGTACATTAATGTGTTTATATTGGTGGACTCAGCATGTAAATCTCAGAATAGATTACACAAAGCCATCTGGGATTACAGTATTTTGTAAACTTGTGTAATAATCAGTCTAATCACGTTGTGGCAGTTAAAGGGGATCTTATGCTCGTTTCCAGCTCTGTATTTGTTTTCTTGGATTCTGCTAGAGTAGCTTTGCATGATTCGCATTTAAAAATAATCTTTCTTTAACTTAATGGGCCTCGGTGTAGCTCATCCTCTGTAAGCTCAGTGTGAGTTCATCTCCAGCCTCCCTTTAAGTTATTTCAGAGTGTCTGTCCCATGCAAAGAGAAGGTGTGAAGAAGGATAATAATGAGAAAAAAAATCTCTAGATTAAAATAATAAATTTACAAGAAAAACATTTTAAGGAAAAAAACGTTTTTCAATTTAGTCAAGGACTGATTTCACGTCACTTTTCAAGGTTAGGAAAAAAATTCAGAACTTTAACCTTCAAGGATCAGAAACTCCTGAGAAACATCCTTAGCAGCAGCATCTCTTTGTAGTTGTGGTATTAAGTCAAACTATGAACTACAAGCTCAGTCTTAATAAAACTAGTTGTCCTCAGACTTTGGCTAACAACAGGAACTGCTGTGTGCAGCTAGCTGTGAGTCAAACCAGGGGACAATGAGACTTTTTCCCATGAATTTTCGCAGCAAAGCTCAGCGTTTCTATAGAAATCACACCCACCTCCTTCCTTCACAGCGGTGTCCTGAAAGCTCAGACTTGCTTGCTGTTTAGTGCAGCTCCAGAATTACCATTGGTGAGCCTGTGGAAGGATTATTAACAGTTTACTCTGTCTGTCTCCGTGTTGGTCTCTTAAGACATGGTGTTCATCTCGGTCAAGTGTAGCTACTGCTGCATGGTGTTAAATTAAACAGTTGAATATAGTTATTATTGGTGGGAAATAACTGTAATTACTGTAGTTATGATTTCTGCTGTAATTGAGCAGCCGGAGTCTTTTGGCTTTGTGGGATGAGTCTATGGACTGACCTCATTATGTGAAACTTTAGCCAAATATGAATATCCAGCATTATAATGGTTTGTGTATGACAGAAAATTAGGGAAAAGCATAATGAGTTCTGTCTCAATTTGTGAGTTCTCATGTTTTGTGTGACCCCTGCTGTGTAAGTGTGTTTTGTTTTCGTGTACATGCTGCAAATTAGACATCACAGTGACTTTGGGTCGTAAGATTTACTTTTAATTAGAGGAGCGGCTTTTGTGACTAAAGACAGATTTACACTTGATAGGTTTACACCGGGGACAGAATTAGACAAAAGGGACTGAAGTTCAGCTGTGAGGTTGGAGAAATTCCCAAAGTGCCTTAATTGTTAAGCACACACTTCCTCCTGGAGAAACCTGTGTCATACGGGCTTCAGGCAAAAGTGTGCCGCCCCTGAAAACATTAATAATAATAATTCTTTAAAAGCGTAACGATGACGAGGAGGACTGCACAAACAAGTCAAAAGGGCAGCAACGGCTCCTCATTAGTGCAAAACTAGAGGCGCTAGATTTTCAGAGATGGTGCACCAAGATTCAACCATAGACGTCACCACAAGCTGCAGAGCTGCCTCTCATTTACCTCCTGCCGGCATCCGCGGGGGAGCTCGGAAAATTTGCAGTTAACTTCTTTCTGGTTCCCACTCCCCTCTTCTTTTGCGCCGTGCCAATTAGGAGAGCCTAAGCGACACCGGGGGCCATTTTTCTGAGCCATGGCTCACAGGAGATGCGTAATTGGAGAGAAGTTGGTCTCTTTCGTTCTCTCCTCTGTTCCCTTATCACCGCCTTTAAATCGCCCTGCTGCAACCCCCTGCCCACCTCCATGTCTACGCCTAAGCACACACACATACATACACCCGCCCACACAACCACAGCTGCATACAGGTAATGAGATAGAGAGGGAGATGAGCTGCTTGAGTGTGAAGGACCTGCGGTGATGTGGCGATGGACTGTCTGGCTGATGTACAGTTGCCTCTCAGGGTTACACGTTGTTCCGCATGATAGCAACAAATAGAAAAGCATTCATCTGTAAAACTTCACTTATATAATGTACATTGAAAATGGTGGTTATGATAAAAACAACAAAGTGAGTGTTAGTGAAGAGATTTGAATACAGATTGACCGTTTTGTCTCACGATGAGCCGCTCTTTGTAATGTGTGGAATCAGTAAAGCGGCTCTGAAGAGACTAATAGCTGTAGTCTGCTGCTTCAAGAGGTAGAGCGCACTTATAAACATGTTCTCTGAGCTGTGAAGAACTCGTATAACTCTACTGTCACGCTTCTAAAACTGCTGGCACCAACCAATCAGGGTTTGGCCATCAATCTCACCGTTGTGATTATAAGGAGGGTTTCTTGTTTGTAACAATTATACAGTTACTAATACCTAAAATGCCCCAAAATACCAGGATGATGCACAGACACAGAAAGGTCCACTTTTGGCTGAGGTGGGGGGGACACTAGCATTGTGATGCAAGCATTGTGATGCTAGTGGTAACAGTGACATTTCTGCAGATACATAAAAAATAAATAAAATAAAACAGCATTTCAGGGGTTGAAAATACAAGCTGTTGTTTGAAGCATCCTCAGGGCAGGAATGAGATGAATTTATATAAAAAAATGATTTTATTTATTTTATTTAGTGGGATTCTGCAAAGCCGTGCTCATTTTTAAATAGAAGCACCATCGGACCGCATTCGTTCTTTTCACTCCCACGTATGGCTTGGCACATGTGCAGATGGCAGGATCGTCCTGTGATATTAAGAGAGAAGGAAGGAGGGGGACGACGAGCTCGACTCGATTCTGTTTGTGACTGCCTTCATCAAACTAAAGTCCACTTCAGCAGGGAAAAGTCCTCCACCTTCAGAAAACTCCAGAGGCGTCGGAGGTGTCTTGATATTCAGCGTCGCTCTCTGGTTTTCTGTCAAATCGCTGAGCAGCTTCTGCCTCAAGGGGCTTTCACGCAGGACGTGGCTTGTGCTGCGCTCGCTGCCGGGTTCAGCATACTGTTTGAGTGAGCTGCAGAGGACAGAGCAAAGAGTGCTGACTTTTCAAAGGTTCTCGTGGGAGTCGAGTGCGTAAAATGTTCAGAAACGCTCTTTCTTCTTTCACGCCTGCAGTGTGAGGAAACATGGCGAGCCCAGGAGCAATCATATGTTATAAGTGGGCGTGTTAGAAGCCTTCGTCATTCACGCCCTTTTGCCAGTTTGAGAGGAACATTTTCCTCAGAGGAAATATTTTGATGGCAGGATTATTTCGAATTAAAGGCAAGATTTGGTTATTTCTGTTCACTTTTCTGAACACGTTGGAGTAGCTTTACATGATCACCATCCACAAACAAAATCATCTTTATTTATCTTAAACTGGGTCTTTGAGACACAGATTAAACTAAAGAGCTGAACAAACGAGGCTTTTTTCTTTCTCTCTCTTTTTTTTTTTTAAAGCCAGCTTTCATCCGATTGGCTGCCTTGTACAAACAGAAGATGCAGCATCTCTTTGTAGTTGTGGTATTAAGTCAAACTATGAACTACAAGCTCAGTCTTAATAAAACTAGTTGTCCTCAGACTTTGGCTAATAACAGGAACTGCTGTGTGCAGCTAGCTGTGAGTCAAACCAGGGGACAATGAGACTTTTTCCCATGAATTTTCGCAGCAAAGCTCAGCGTTTCTAT